AACGTAGAGTCTGTTTAATCCGGTTATGTGGTAAATTATAACAATTATCAAACAAATTAAAATTATAAGCGCCCGCATAGAAAATAATCAAAAAGAGTGCATAACAACCTATTCGGGTTATCATCCCAACAATATTAAACTGAACATTGCATTAGGTCCTAAGTAACATTGACAGATTCTCTTCGTCGACTTTCTCTTTGTATCCCCACGACCATGTAAAGACATTCTCAGGTATTTTCAGCACACAGAACGATAAAAGAAGCATCTAATATGACAAACACAACAAAAAAGGTTATGCGCTCAAGTTATTAACGAAAGATAAAGTCGGTGAAGAGAAGCGATAAATGTTACTTAGGACCTAATGCAATGTTCAGCTTGATATGTGGTAATGTAGATCAATTTGTGGTATCGTTGATGTATGGTCCTCGTTTATTAGAGCGATAACTTGCATTTCACGGGAAATGTGGGGGAAAATCCCGAGAATCGTGAATGGTGCAGACATGCTTGCATAGACCTAGGAAGAATTAAAGTTTAATATTACTTATCAAATTATTTTACTTCTTTTTTTTTAATTTACTATACACTTTCTTCCGTACGGCTTTAACTTCGAATTTCACTAATTAAAACGTTCTACAGCAGCCGACGAAGCCGAACTAACATGGCGCACGTTACATTTTTTTTTTAAATCTTTATTTAAGAGATTTTTAGCCATAGGTTAGTTCATCTCTAGGCGCACGTTACAAATTTTCATCTAAAATCATGATTTCAGATACTGTCAAAGCTCAGAAAACTAAACAACTCAAAATCGAGCATCAAAGTAAAAGTAACTGTTTTGGTTTTACTTCAAGATTAAGTTGAATGTACTTATCAATGATAATAGAATTGTATCCAAAACAGTATTGTTAGAGGAGAACTTATTTTTAAGTACTTTCTCTATGTAAATTTGGGGTTCTTTCGTTTCTCCGTGCACCTACAGAAAACGAGCTGTTCGAAAGATTCCTGTAACTCACCCCACTCAAAAGCTCTTCAATATTTACACTTTCTGCACGGCGAAAAATAAATTTTAATATTACATCCAAGAGGATGTAAAATCTCGAGTCGAAAATCTCATGTAATTTATATGGCCACAAAAATAAACAAATACAGTAAAAGCAGCGTAATGTCAGTTCATGCACTGTATTTATGATATTTTTTTCCTTTTTGACAAGTAATATTGAACCATATTTTCGACGCGATTGAAGTGCATCCACATTGATGTGCCATTAAAATTATTTTTTTGCTGTGTACGGTCCAAAGCCTTGTCCAGTAAAATTTGACTTTTTAACATAAACAAATTTTCTTGCTTTGGAATTGTCATCTGTAAGGAGGTTCGCGTCTAGTGCTTTCCCAGGAACCATTCGTGGCCACTAGCTTCCGCCCTCTAAGCTTGGGCGTATCAAGCGAGGCATCCTTCAAATTGTTCGCAATCTCCGACACCGGCGAGAGACCACTTTCCACTTTTGCAAGCGGAAAACTTGCTGGTTCCCGGCAACGTCGGACACCGAATCATCACCAAAACTCGCGACGGACACATTAACAGCACTTTCCCGGGCTGATTCGCCAACCGGACCGGGTTCAAACTCGCCCACAGTGACGAGACTATCGACTACACGCCGAAAGTTTGGCATCCGAATTCGGATTACCGGGCTCTGGGGGGCAATCCACTATAGCACAATTTAATGAACACTTAAAACTCAACTACAGCACCAACAAATGATTTTTAATGGAAAAAATGCCAAATCCGAGGAAGAAAAACACGCAGCAAAAATATGCACGTTAGATTTCAAGCACGGCTTACTGCGATCTCGGGCAGGACAGTACATCTGTAAGATTTTTTCAAGTTTTAAGGAGCATTCACTCTACCGATTACATACTTGTGCTTGCATACATTTATCTATATCAGTTTATAATTTTGATGTCAAAATGTGTGGTGGTGATGAAAATTATTCTAATGAGTGCTTGATCATTGGTGATATATAGGTGAGAGAACCTTTTTTTCTCATGGTCACATGATGGCCGTGATATTTACCAGCAGTGGCCATGGAATTTTCTTCTAAATATTCTTTTCTCTTCATCTTATCTTAATTGTTTTTTGGAATTATCTCCAGAATACGATTTCTTCAATATCCTTCTCGGAATTCCTTTCTGAATCTACCTCAGTATTCCTTTAAAATTATCTTCAGAATACCCTTTCGTCTTGATCAACACCTGACTTTCACTGCACATTTCGACAACGGCAAATGCGCTTGCAAAACCATACTGAATCTTCTCCATTCTATCGCTGGACGGCCTCCCCAGATAGTAACCGATCCACCGGCTCCGCTTTGTCAGAGCAATTCTCGAGTCACGTCTTTTCTATGGCATCGAAATCATGTGTCTCTCCCGCAATCTGCTAATCTCCAAACACGTATCGAGCAGCTATCCGGATTTGTTTTGGTCATCTTCCGTCCACTCCATCCGAGAGCGGAAAGCTTCCATTTGACCAACTGACCACACATATTATATGTAATAAGTTTCACCGAGAAGACAGGAGCCGGGGGTTGGGACCGGCCCAGACTCTTAATTGACGTGGCAATTAAGTAGAAGTTTAGGGCAGGACCGAATTCCCCCGCACCAGTGAAATCGGTAGCAGAACTTAAACGAACCGTATTCCGTATTCCGTATTCCGAGCCGTCGGAATGGCTCCGCAGCCCGTGGGCGTATTGTTATAGGAATTACAGACTCTTAAATGTTTGTATACCACCTGCTACCGGACCAGTACTCCGTCTTTCCCACAGACCAATCGTGGTTTTCACAAATTCCGTCAGTGTGGTCGCAGCCCCCGGGCTGGAAGTTTCCAAGTATCCCTGGATCCAGGGTATTCAGAAATAAACACACAAGAACACCGTTTTTATCTTGATCCCTGGACACTGCGGTGTCCGCGGGAATATAGAGGCCGACACCCTGGCAGCTTCCGGACGAGAAGTTCTTATGTACACCCGGGAGGTCCCATCGGGTTTCAAAGGTGATCTGGGACTCCTGGTAGGCCGATTGGCTTCGCTCAGGGGATACTTTCATCCGAAAGATCAAGCGAGACACACATAGGTCTAATCGTGTTGTCTCGCCTAAGAACTGGCACACCAACATTTCCCATAACTTCTCCGGGAACTGACCTTTCCGCAGGATATGCGACATCTGCCATGTCTCACACAGGATAGAGCACATCATATGCCACTGTCTACAATATGAGAGGCCCCACGAATTTTATGACATACCGGAAAGTATCAGAGATGCCTTTAGTGAGAATCCGACCAGAACCGCGGCATTAATCGATTTTATCCGAGAAGTTGGACTACTGGAAAACACCTAACCCATTGAGTCCGATCGAATTTTGTACAACCTCACAAAGACCAACCTTAGCTTCGCACCTGAAAACGAACATGGATGACCGACAATATCTGACCTACTTTATATTTCTTATATAATTATATAATTATATAATGTCTTGTACAAACGAATGATTTATACGACAACACCACACGAATTATTATAACAACAGCCGGTGAATAGTTATGACAGCAACCACGACAGAAGCAGCTCTGATTTTAGGGAGGGCTCCCACTCTAGTAAGTATGAAATAAACTAGCCCACGGCTGAAAGTCTTTTTTATAAAGAAAACTAACTAGCCACACTCAGAATATCCTTTAAATTCTACTTAAAATTATTATTGAACTTTCATCCGGGATAGAGTTCGTTTATGGTATTTTTACTATATTAGGGGATACACGTGTATTAATGGGATTTTTTTGTTATGTCTTTTCTCGATTCCGATCAAGCTATGTCCTCAACCATGTATATTTCAACAAAGTAGGCAAGCAAACAATCATTATTCTTCTATCACACCGATCGAGCTGTGTTGCAGAAAGAGCTTGTCGTGGTAATAGTAGCAAGCGTTTTGTCTGTATCGTTGGTTGCTTTACGTGTTTGGATTTGCTATCTAAGACTCAACACAAATGTTAAAGCCTCAGAATCTAGGATATTTTCTTGAATCACATTTTTTTAATATTTCTATTAGGTGGTACATACTACGGAGTGTTACCATTTGTTCTTGCTATGTGGTATCCAACAAGAACTCTATTAAGTTCAAAGACTCACAGAACTTCAAGAACTCTCAGAATTACTTTGAACTCATGGAGCTTTTGGAATCTCTAATCTAAAATACTGAGTCTCACAATATTCAGAAAGCTGCGGTACTATAAAATTTAAATTACATAAAATGCTTGCACTCTATTACCAGAGCTTTCAAACATTTTCATGATTACAAATTCAAATATTCGTTATGCATTTCTCTGTACAAAGTCCGAGCCATGTACGCGATGGTACGTACTTCTTGGAAAGTGCAACCTGTAAGAATATATTCATAAATATTGCCCTTTTTAGTCACTTTGAAATTTCAATGAAAATATTCTGAAATCATGATTTTAGTATCATTCCGGTTTGAATCCGTAGTGCTCATTTTTACTGAGATGCTAATTCAAAACAATAAACATTTGTTTCTCCAGTCATAGTCAACGGATCTAGGGATTTTGGATGTGTGACAAATTCATAAATAATACAAATTAATGGCTCGGTGCCCTTATTCTAATGCATGCCACTTAAACCAGTTTTATTGAATGTATCGTAACTATTAATTAGCATTTTCAAACAAATCTACTAGTAGTTTTGCTCACCTAACTCAATCACAGACACCTTCAACGCCTATTTTCCCCATTCTCATACGACGCCTACTGCCGCTGTTGCTATAGCTACTTCACCTTTCAGCCACCCGCAAATGCGACTGCACACTGCATATGTCGTCTATTTTCCACAGAGGTTACTTTGATCATAGTACTAGAGCACTATAATCTATTCTCAAAATAGACTAGCTTAACGGAAACGGATTCTGCCTTCTCCTCACGTACTAATCGAAATCCATTCCACAGCCTGCGGGACAGCAGCACCAGACGCTCATCATTGAAGAATTTGAACCAGACGTTTTCCGTCAGTTGATCGAGTACATCCATACGGGATGTGTCACGCTGCAACCGCGTACCCTTCTCGGGGTGATGAATGCCGCCGACTACTACGGGTTGGAAGAGCTTCGGCGTGCTTGTGGTGGATTCGTCCAATGTTGCATCAACGTGGACACGGTTTGCGCTCTGTTGGCCTCGGCCGAGCGATATATCCAGTATAAATGCACCAAGAGCTTGGTGCAGAAGGTGAGTTGCACGTTGGCAAGATGTGAATATGGAATAATGATGGGAAACGTGTTTTTCAGGTTCTGGAATTTGTGGACGAACATGGCAACGAGGTGCTGAATTTGGGCAGCTTCACTCTACTGCCACAGCACGTGGTTCGTTTGATACTGGCTCGGGAGGAGCTTCGGGCGGATGAGTTTACCAAATTCCAAGCTGCACTAATGTGGAGCAAGAAGTATTGTGACACGAATCAGAACACTCCCCTGAAGGAGGTGATTGGGAACTTTTTGGAGTACATCCAATTCCACAAGATTCCGGCGAATGTGCTGATGAGAGAGGTCCACCCGTTAGGGATTGTGCCGTATTCGATCATTATGAATGCATTGGCGTTCCAGGTGGGTGAATGCTTGTAGTTGTACGGTGGGCTTCCTGTTTCTCAGTAGTCGGATTTTGTTGCAGGCAGACCCAACAAGTGTGGACCCCGGAAAGCTCTCCCCCAACTCCAGTCGAGTAAGGAGGGCACGTCAGTCACATGGTCGTTCGATGTCCGTACAGAGTTCGTTGGACCCATATGGTTCCAACACTACGCTTAGTTCTAGTGGCAGCAGTGATCCAGCTAGTGGACCACCTCATAGCAACTAACAAAGGCTAAACGGCCCCTCCTCTCCAAATCCAGAGTCATCCAGATCCCACCATTCAAAATCTCTCCCAAAGATACGCAAAGCCAAGTCCCAGAGTTTCCGTACCCGACGCAGTCCATCGGAACGTAAAGGCCACGGTTCACCATCGCCGTGGAATTTCAATGCCGAACAGCGCAAAAGTCCCGTCAACAGTTTACAACAGCAGATCCAGCAGCATGTACCCAGGTCACCCGGAAGTGCTTCAGCTCATCTCGAGCACCGAAGTTCTATTAGTTCGCAGAAAAGTCCAGCTCTATCACGCCAAGGAACGCTGCGATCATCCCATCGCCGGAAGAGCAGTTTGGGTGCGTCGCTGAATCTGAATCAGGGACGCCGCAGTCCAAACAGTATGTTAAACGACCGTAGTCCACAGGGACGTAAGAGCCCTAATCTTCTCATTACCGACCAAATGTACACTCAAAGCTTCCAGGTCCATATGGACCGCAAGTCTCCAACTGCCATGTCATTCTCCGGACGACGAAGTCCATCGGGTCTACGAAGTCCATCCGGGCTACGTAGTCCTTCTGGGTTGCGTAGTCCATCCGGATTGCGTAGTCCATCAGGACTTCGAAGCCCTTCTGGCCTGTGCAGCCCTTCCGGACGGCGCAGTCCACTAGGTTTCACTCTACAATCCGAGTATTCTAACGTGCTGCAGGGCCAGACGGAGCGGTTCAGTCCAAATTCACTCAGCAGTCATTCCGCTCAGGATCGTCGAAGTCCCACTATGCACCTTCCACCAGAGCGTAGCCGTAGCCCGATCGGTTTCCACTCTCGCTACAGTGGAAGTTTCTACGGCGACCGCTCAGCACGTACCAGTCCAACAGCACTTAGCAGTATTCCTCCAATAACCATCTCAAATCCATCGGAAACTTACGAGATCGTACAGAAGTCGATGGAATCGGAGCGTAGTCCGCTGAAACCGGATGCTCCAGCAATACCAATGTCTACCTCTTCCCAAAAGTTACAAGGTGCCGGGGCCACTACACCTGGATCGGCCACTTCGAGTACGACTGCTCCGGAGAAAAAGGAGAAGACAAGCGTTATGAAGGAAATCCTAGCGTTCGTAAGGAAACCCTCCAAGAAGGTTACCACGAGAACGAGCAAGTTTGCAGCTGCCTTCTCCAGGGCCGATTCCAACACGGGAGCTCCACTGCTGCGACAGAGCACATTTTCCAGCATCCAGAATTCGTCGAGTTGCGCTGGCCGCAACGCAATAACTAAGCAAATGTCGGAGATAGGATTTGAACCAATTATGACCTCACTGAAGCTGAAGGGTATGGGCTCGAGGATTTCGTTGAGATCGCTGCGAAAATTCAGCAGTGATAAAAAGGATAAAAAATCGAGTGGCGATGAGATCAGTGATGTTGAGAGTAGCGATGGAGGAAAAATCTCATCTGAAGTCAGCAATCCGTTGGAGATTCCATTCGAGCTGGACAATGTGAAATTTGAAAAGGTTGGCGAGTCGTATATCAAGCACGATCAGATCACGGAGGAAGAAAGTCCTCGTGGATCACAGGAAAGTGAGGAAACCGATGATGGAAAGTTGAAGATTACGCCGGTAAGTGAAATCAAGAAGTCACTGGAAGCACTCTTTACCAGGCAGGAACCGATCGATGAAGCGGCGGAAGATGTGCGAAAAGATTCGGAGGCGATTCAGTGCCCGACGTTTGAAATAGAACCACCATCGAGGCGGGCATCGTTCGACCCACCTCGTTCACCGTATCTAGAGAATCTGAGAAGTTTGAGCGAAACCGATCACGAAGGAACTCATCACAGCCGGCTGGATTCCGGTGGGGATAGTTTTGAACTGGTCGATACCACCGATCGACGAGGAGAGAGTAGCGTCAGCGATCGCCACTCGTCAATGGATACGAGTTTTGATATCAGTCGATACCAGAGCACTAGCTATGAGGATCAGAATTCGAGTTTCGAGCTAGTTGAGTTGGATAACTCGCAACGGACATCGGTGAAGGATGATAAGATTTCTCCATTTGATATCAGGAAATCCTCGATCGAACTAGTTGATGCGGAGACTTTTCAGAGACCGTATCCGGATGGTCGTAAGTCATCACTGGAGACTCACTTTGATTTAGCTGAAGGTTACCAACCGACCAGTCCACGCAGTGCGTTCACGGTTATTCCCAAGGCTCGTAAGCAAATATCCGAACCTGGTCGCAATCGTGATTACAAAGGAGGCATGAAGACCCACTACTCCGCTCCTCACCGTGCCAAGTCACCCCTCTCGAATCAGACGTCGTCCAACTACAGTTCCCGGGATAGTTACGATTCGATCTTCGAATCGATGCCTCATTGCGATGTTCGCAGTCCGTTCTCGGAACGAGACTCTAAGCAACATTTTCAGCTGCCACGCAAGACCTCCAACGAGTCTTCCTCGCGCTTTCTCTGTACCGATAAACGTTGTGCCTCAATCTTTGAACCTCGCCCGGCTCGCCTCTCCTCCACGCATCTGGACACGTCCAGCGGTAGCGAGTTCGAGCCTCCCTCTCCTCGACGGGCGGCCAGCGCTTCGCCCAAGCATACCTTCACCTTCCGGATCGTGTTGAAGAAGGTGGACAGCTCGCCGGATGCCATCTGCCCGTCGGCTGAACGACGCAATCGGGAGAAGGTGGACAAAAACAAACGACGTGACAGCCGCCGTAAGAAGCTGCTGGAAATTGGCAAGAGTTTCTAAGTAGGCGGCGGCGTTCGAACGAAGAGAAAATAATGGAGGAGTGAATAAACAAAGCGTAGGAGACACTGGAAACAGTGCACGCTGTGAGAAGAGTTATAGATAGGATCGAAGCAGACACTGTAGCAAGGTGCGTCGGGAGATTATTCTGATGCTTCTTTGTGTCGCGCATTGTTTACATTCGAATGTTTGGATGGATTTACAATACTTATCAAGAGGCGTTTTTCATAGTTCTATTTGTACAAGTGCAACAATCGTTATTCATTGTGTCTCTTCAGTCATTTCCTTCACAAATACTCAATTACATATGCTAGCATTGGGTAAGTTGGTAAGGGAAGTGGTTTGAGGAAGTTAATAGTAAGGCCGAAAGGAATCCACCATCCGCAGCCCTTCCAGCTTATTTCTGCAAAGCATCAAATTCCCCTTATTTATGAACAATCAATATAACACTTTGGTAACTGTAAGACAATTTCAACATAATCTTCAATATAAATGAGTAGTGAGTACTCGATTCACCCTAGAAAAATATGAAAAGTTCCAAATCTGGACAGAAATCAATATTATAACAGCTCTAGCCATATAAAGCTCACTTCAGTCCTAGTACCTACCAGAATAATGACACAGTTTTATCCTAAAAAATAAATTCCCTTACGATAAACAATATAAACATTCTAAAACTAGAAATTTCGGCAAAAGAATGCATATGCAAATAACAGTTTTAAATTAATTCATGCACTCACAAACAAAAGCCTTAAAGGCATCGTGTTCAAATTACACTCATAAATACCGGTAAGAAAAACAATAGTGAAATAATGAATTCATGAATCAATGTACTTTACTTAAGCGAAGCAAACATTAGTTATTTTCCCCAAAAAGTAATACACAAATACAAACAAAACGGCTGTTCTCTGAGGTTAAAAAATAAACAATTGAATTTACAAGATTTTAAACGAAATGTTGAATAGAAAGAGTGCACCGAGTTGTGAAAGTGGAATAGTTTCATCTATGAAGATTCAATCTTTGACACAATTATTATGGATATTGTATTTTATTAGTTAATGGCGGACCAGTTGAGGTGTGAAAATAGCAACATAGGGAAGGAAGGAGATTCTTATATCACTTTGTTCACACTTTCTTTCAAACGCTGACAGATGACATAGGCGTCAGGCACGTGTTACTCTGGCTCAAAAAATTACAAGAGAGCTACTTTGATGGTTTCTATATATAGTTTCGTTTCTATTCAGTGGAGAAAATGCAAGGGATCAAAATTGAAAGCAAGCTTTCATCGGAACCACTAACAATCAAATCAAGCAAAACTGTCAAACGGTAAACACAAATATCAAACCTTAATCAATCAAAAAAGTCTACACTCTGATTTCGATTCGCACGGAAATATACCACCCACCCACACGACAGTGGGTGATCGTGGTAGTATTTTCGTCGAACAAAAATGCTGGACAATGGGGCCGTATTGAAAAAATAGCTAACTTTAGTAGCCTACAGTTTAAATAATAATAAAAAAAATCATGTCAAACACGCATACCCACCCATATAACCCTTTCTATAAAGGCTAGAACATAATTTAAATAACCAAAATGCGCAACGCAATGGGGTGATGTTTGTTTTCAATGTCTATCAATAATCTAAGTATCTATAAACACTATCTGTTGCTACGAAATCTCACTCCTTTCCCAATCATAAACAAGACACATGGAGTTTTTTTTTTTAAATTACGGCAGGTTTTGGCCGAAGGGTCTCATAATGTTATGAAATTTTGACCACAGATTTCCTTAATCCGACAAAGATTTTTCCCTGGGGGCCACATTTTGAAACATTTATGTAGATGGAATATCGAAGCAACGCGTTAATTTTTCCATTGAATCAGAATGTGCCAGTGTACCAAAACGTCAAATCCCATAAGTACCAGAACGTGAAAATAATTTCAGTTCTCTGCACAGTATTCTTTGTACGATGCTTGGTTCATGAGTTATTAACTTTCAAAGTACGTGATGCCCGGAATAAATCGCCCCGTATAACCATAAACTCTACTCTGTGGGCAAAATTTCAGAAAATTCTGAGATCTATCAGCCTATTTTGTCCGATAGTGAAAAAAAAAATCCCCAAACGCAAAGCATCAAGTCAAATGCAAAGCCTTCTCCAATCAAACCCATATGTGCCAAAAACCAAACTGAATCCATTGATTGATGTTCCGTTATCTCTCAGAAAGGTGAAACTCCATTAATCAAAATCAGCTATACACAATTTTGAGAACGTCATCTCGAATTTGTCAAGGACGCAGTTAGTCCGTATTATTACAAACATATACTCCTGACTCTCAAGCAAACCGCTATGAACTTACAATATATTGTTGTTGAACCGAACTTGAACCTTATTTACAACGTAAAACGAATACGAGAGAATGAAAGCAAAGCGAACGCTAAACTGACTAATGTACCGTTAAAGTGACGTTTATTCTACACATGAAGTACACAAATAAAAAGTGAAAATTTATCAACGGATATAAAACTACCAGTGGAGAGATTCTGAACTTGGTGAGAGATGATAAACCAAAACATAATCAAATTATTTCCAGAAAATCAATAAAATTATTATTCCGCTCACACACACATCCATTATTCGGTGTATGTTGATTGAATAAAAACTTTAAAAGGAACAGTTGATTAAGTTTTATTTGTTTGTTAATTTATTAATTATGTTATTTTATTTGAGAAAGCCTTGGTTCTTTGGTTGACAGTCTTGTAGCGACCATGGGGATATTACCAGCCACATTTTGAAACCTTCATGTTGATGCAGTATCGAAGCAACCTGTTAATTTTGTCATTGAATCATAATATGCCACTGTACTAAAACGTCAAATCCCATACACGGTTAGAAAAAAGTACCCAAAAGTAAGTTATTTTCACTCATCTCGGCACTATAGTGCAGGAACCCAAAAATAGGTAAAGCGGGTCAAAGTAGTTTTCATTTACTTGTGTGCAATTCGTATGGAATTTTCCACTAGCTTTCAACGCAAAAGTAAGTTAGTTGTACCCAACAGTAGGTAAATATGATTATACTCAACGTTGGGTTCCCACACTTTACTACCCCTGTTGGGTGGTTTTGCTCCTCCGTTTTTGACAACATTAGAAGGAGAAAACGAGACAAACTAGTCAAAAGTAGGTAAAAGTGAACTGGCCGTTGGGTACTTTTTTCTTACCGTGTAGGTACCAGAATATCAAAACCGAATACATGTTGGATTCATACTAAGCATAAGGGGTTGACAAATGTAAAATACCCCGGGCACTGACACAGTACATGAACGATCTAACTAAAAATTTAGATGGATTTTACTCAAAATCGTAGAAAGTGAGGGTACTCATTGAGTGAGTAAAATTTTCTTTGAACATGGGTAATAGAATGATCGAGAACATCATATGGCCATCTAACGCACCATCATAAACATGATGAAAAACTGTCCGCTCATACAGGAGAAAATACTACACTTCTCAAGGAACCGAAAATATCGGAAACCCTAACCATAGTTCAAACGACCGTAATTCCGTTGAAAATGTACCTGTAATCATCCTTAATTCGGTCATGAAATCCTGCACTTGTTGTTGTTGTTGTTGTTGTTGTTGTTGTTGTTGTTGTTGTTGTTGTTGTTGTTGTTGTTGTTGTTGTTGTTGTTGTTGTTGTTGTTGTTGTTGTTGTTGTTGTTGTTGTTGTTGTTGTTGTTGTTGTTGTTGTTGTTGTTGTTGTTGTTGTTGTTGTTGTTGTTGTTGTTGTTGTTGTTGTTGTTGTTGTTGTTGTTGTTGTTGTTGTTGTTGTTGTTGTTGTTGTTGTTGTTGTTGTTGTTGTTGTTGTTGTTGTTGTTGTTGTTGTTGTTGTTGTTGTTGTTGTTGTTGTTGTTGTTGTTGTTGTTGTTGTTGTTGTTGTTGTTGTTGTTGTTGTTGTTGTTGTTGTTGTTGTTGTTGTTGTTGTTGTTGTTGTTGTTGTTGTTGTTGTTGTTGTTGTTGTTGTTGTTGTTGTTGTTGTTGTTGTTGTTGTTGTTGTTGTTGTTGTTGTTGTTGTTGTTGTTGTTGTTGTTGTTGTTGTTGTTGTTGTTGTTGTTGTTGTTGTTGTTGTTGTTGTTGTTGTTGTTGTTGTTGTTGTTGTTGTTGTTGTTGTTGTTGTTGTTGTTGTTGTTGTTGTTGTTGTTGTTGTTGTTGTTGTTGTTGTTGTTGTTGTTGTTGTTGTTGTTGTTGTTGTTGTTGTTGTTGTTGTTGTTGTTGTTGTTGTTGTTGTTGTTGTTGTTGTTGTTGTTGTTGTTGTTGTTGTTGTTGTTGTTGTTGTTGTTGTTGTTGTTGTTGTTGTTGTTGTTGTTGTTGTTGTTGTTGTTGTTGTTGTTGTTGTTGTTGTTGTTGTTGTTGTTGTTGTTGTTGTTGTTGTTGTTGTTGTTGTTGTTGTTGTTGTTGTTGTTGTTGTTGTTGTTGTTGTTGTTGTTGTTGTTGTTGTTGTTGTTGTTGTTGTTGTTGTTGTTGTTGTTGTTGTTGTTGTTGTTGTTGTTGTTGTTGTTGTTGTTGTTGTTGTTGTTGTTGTTGTTGTTGTTGTTGTTGTTGTTGTTGTTGTTGTTGTTGTTGTTGTTGTTGTTGTTGTTGTTGTTGTTGTTGTTGTTGTTGTTGTTGTTGTTGTTGTTGTTGTTGTTGTTGTTGTTGTTGTTGTTGTTGTTGTTGTTGTTGTTGTTGTTGTTGTTGTTGTTGTTGTTGTTGTTGTTGTTGTTGTTGTTGTTGTTGTTGTTGTTGTTGTTGTTGTTGTTGTTGTTGTTGTTGTTGTTGTTGTTGTTGTTGTTGTTGTTGTTGTTGTTGTTGTTGTTGTTGTTGTTGTTGTTGTTGTTGTTGTAGTTGTTGTTGTTGTTGTTGTTATAGTTGTTGTTGTTGTTGTTGTTGTTGTTGTTGTTGTTGTTGTTGTTATTGTTGTTGCTGTTGTTGTTGTTGTTTTTTTTATTTTTTTTTTTATTTTTTTAAGTTTCTTTTTCAGTAAAGCCAGTAGCGTCACTATTGAAAATTACACAAAAGTTCAACTGTTGCAATGGTGATCAAAATTATCTCCGGTTTTCTGCAAAAAAAAATGATCCTACACAGATAAAAATTCTGAATTTTAATAGTGATGTAAACATTCATTCACGTCAACTTGTATTTAATTTTACGCTACCAAGCAACTTGTATACAATGTTGTTTACAACAATGGGCTTTTGGATACAATTATATTTGCTATATTTGCTAAATTGCATGAAATGTCTCAGAACTTTACATGATATATAATGTAGACTTATATGATATGTGACGCTCCATTTATGTACATCATGTTGAACAGAAATTTACACTACTTTTTCGAACTGTGTACGTCAAACCTACGGTCGTGTCTTGGATACAACCTATTAGTTTTTTTTTTTATCTAAATGCTATATCGTCTGGAAGATAAATGAAGTCTCAGAGTGATATTTTTTCAGCAAAACGATACTCTGGAATATGATGTACCTATATCGAGACCTATATGCAATAGATCAGCCTTCTTCAACTACCCCCTGACGAAAATAGGTAAAGAAGTGCCGAAGCCGTTGTTTCCCCGGCTCCACAATTCTTAAAATGGGGTTCGCGAACTCCCACTAAGCGGAAAGCACATGAAAAGAAGCGATGTTGAGCGAGCCTGACCAATTAAGAACCGATGCCCTACTCATTTGATTGATTTAGCTGTCACTGTCGATGTCCATTGGAACGTTATCTGTGAGCTACAAATACTGCCAAAGGTGCTCTATATTCAACACCGCGCAAATTGTACTTACTGGATCGATTTATCATTGCCAACGCCAGTCGCCATAAGACAGCTACGTGATGGGCGCATTACGTGGTAAGCTCACTTTGACATGTAAAGGGTAACTGATGGCTGAGCGCTCATTTTTAGCATTAGGATACATTATGTTTCAGAGCATCCAAATTGGCCAAATTTGCCCCGCTGACAATAAAAGGTAAAGGTGATTGCCGAAATGGGTAACCAATTAGGCAGAAATATGAAAACAAAAACAGAACCTTATAATACAGATTCAATACAATAAAATGTGTGTTAAGCTACGTAATCAGTAAGCCGTTGGTGGTGGTACGAATGTTTTTTTTTTATATAGAATTCTAGTACTACTTCACGGCAACGCGTTATATCCCACCGATAGCGGCACGAAATGCGCTTATCAGTCTATCCACAATGCTTCCACTGTTCGCACCTGTTGACATCGCTATTAACCGGTGACACCTCTTCATTAATAGAAGCAAAATGCGCGTGAGTAAGCGAAAACAAGCCTATTACAGTAGACTAAATATTAAATTTGATCGTTTTTACCCCATGTCAGAGGCCACGTTTCATTAAAGCAGTATTTGTTGTGCTGTTGATCCTAGCGAGCGTGGCATTATTCGTGGTCTACTATGATTCCGCTGCAACTCACGCAATGGTACAATCTGCCCGTAGCCAGCTTGTAGGGTACCTCCCAGTGGATGATAACAAAATGCAAGGCCTACTGAAGGAGGAAAACGATACGCTACTACCAGGCGATATGGGTCAGGCTGTAGAACTGAAAAAACCAATCAGTGTGGACGTTCAAAGACAGATCAATGACGGTTGGGCCATGCAGGGATTGAATCAGTATGCTTCAGATTTGGTGTCGGTCTACCGAAAACTTCCAGACATTCGAGATCAGTGGTGTAAGGAGCCAGATCGGTTTCTGCCCAAGCTACCGCCTGCTTCGATTGTCATTATATTCTATAACGAAGCGTGGTCAGTGCTTGTGCGAACAGTACACTCGATTCTGAATCGAACTCCTCCGGAGCTAGTTGAAGAGATTATCCTGGTGGATGACTGCTCGACGCTGGCACATTTGAAAACACAGCTGTATGATTACTTTCGCCCGCTTCAGAAGGTGCGGATAATTAGAGCAAAGCATCGGCAGGGATTGATACGTGCAAGAATTCTGGGTGCAAAAAGTGCAAAAGCAGAGATTGTGACATTTCTTGATGCGCACTGCGAGGTGATTGTCGGTAAGTCACTAAATACATGTATAATTTAATGTGAAGATAATTTAAAAAAAAAAAAACATCAAAGGTTGGTTGGAAGCTCAACTGGATCGAGTCACCCGTGATCCAACAACCATTGCGATCCCATCGATTGACTGGATCCACGAGGACACGATGGCTTTGAATGCGCAAAACTCGCTGTTGTACTTTGGCTCGTTCGACTGGACGGTCAACTTTCAGTGGAAATCACGGCACGAGAAGAAGAAGCAGGTGGAAAACCCTCTGGAACCGTTCGATACTCCCATAATGGCCGGCGGTTTGTTTACCATCAATAAAACGTTCTTCGCCCATTTGGGATGGTACGACGAGGGGTTTGAAACCTACGGGGCTGAAAATATGGAGCTCTCCTTTAAAACGTGGATGTGTGGTGGTTCGATGCAGATTGTTCCCTGCTCGAGAGTGGCACATATCCAAAAGCGGGGTCATCCCTACTTATCTGTAAATAATTCTTACAGAGCTAGCTGAGTGCCAACTGAATTATCCCTTCCCTTTTCAGCAAACTCCAGGCGGATACAACTCGATCAAACGGAACACGGTTCGCCTTGCCGAAGTATGGATGGACGAGTACGCTCTATTCTATTACGAATCCTTCGGAGGACCAAAGAATCGCGGAGAATTTGGAGATGTGTCCTCGAGGAAGAAGCTTCGGCAGCGATTGAATTGTAAATCATTTCGATGGTACATGGAGAACGTCTTTCCGGAACAGTTTGATCCGTCGAAAGCGGTGGGTCGTGGGGCATTCCGAAGCGCGCTTCATGGTGGCAAGCAATGCCTGGAGTGGCCACCTCCTTTAAATGAACGTGGGGTTGGTGATTGTCATGGCCATGGTGGACATCAGTTGTGGTTTTTCACAGCTGACGGAGAGGTTACTCGGGAGGATCATTGCTTGGATTACGATGGAAGTAAGCTGGAAATGATTCGGTGCCACAAGATGCGTGGTAACCAACTGTGGGTGTATCACGAGAAGGAGACTCACTTTCGTCACATAAACACCAACCGATGCTTGGAGTGGAGTGATGAAAAGCTGAAGGTTATTGAATGTAGTGATTCCAAAGTACAGCAGAAGTGGTTGATTCAGTACTATAATGCAAGTAATTTGAAAGCAACGTGAAAGTCAGTGCAGGGCTGTCACAAACAATTTTTTGAATAAGAAGACGCAATAAAATTTGGACCTGAGCATTGTTTATAGAATTCAGAATATTTTCAAGATTTCTTGGAAACTAACAACCATCTTTCTACCAATTTTACATGCAATAAGCCCTGCATGTCTACAAGAGTGGTTCAAAATATCGATTTTGCTCCACCAGGCTCAATCGATTCTAAATCAGATCAAAATTTGAGTTTGTTTGGATGCGATCTCATACTGCACTGACCTTCTATAGTTTATGTGGGAATTACTGAGGGAAAAGTGTTTTTTTTTGTTCTCAACGTGCTAGCACTTCGCTATAATGATTTACCGAAAATCTTGCTACCTGCTCTTATGTAAAATTTTAGCAGATACAAATTTGCTGGAGATCACAATCGAAGACATCATATCAAGAAGAATGGCAACTTTGCCAGAATCCAAGCTACAGATACAGTAGCACTGCACTTGAGCGAAGGTGGAAGCAACGCATAGAAAAATGAGCAAATACACAAAGCTTTCTTCTGAGGATGTAATCTTTGTTATCAAATTCGTTCGAAGCCGTTTGAGCGGCAGATGACGCGATTGTGCCTTCCTCATAGCGGTCGTACGAGAAAATGGAAGAGTTGATATGTTGTCTTCGCTGTAATGTAATTGGTTATTAATTGATTCCGAAGCCGATAATTGTCTGATATGATTAATCAACTGTTTTCATCTTGCTATTATGACATAGCAGCCTGAATTTTGTTTTCCATATCGCCTTATCTGAGAAGTTTATGGAGCATGTCGGAAGAATATCATCTTCTTGAATAATTAGTAACTAATTATCCTAACGTTCAATTCAAATGCAGTCTTCAGTAAAGTTGCAGCTGAGAAAATTTCTCATTAGTACAGATAGTAAACTTTGCCGTAGATCTTTACAGCGAAGGCCCATAGTAATTCCCATATAAACTTCACATCAAATGAGCTCAAATTTTGGGAGAATTACCAGGACCTGATTTGAAATCGATTGAGCTTGGTGGAGCAAAATCTATAATAAACCACACTAATTTTTTCAAAGGAAACCTGGTAGTTCAAGCGTTTTGATATAATTTACTTTCTACTTAGCACGATACAAACGGATTTGACCAAAAAATAGAATGTTTCTACTCTAGATGACTATTAAATCCATTTTTATTTCCATATTGATTTGTAAAAATATCACATGGCTTATATTTTCTTGATTCCAAATCCTTCATACGGGTTTCAATTCCTTCCAATCGCATTGAAATGCCATTGGATTTTCTTCGTCGTACGGATGATAGAGCAATGGATGCGCTTGGAGACCTTCGTTAGTTTTCGAGAAAAATTTGTGTTAATGCTCTTATTTTGTGCTTTTATAGGCTTTAAGTTGTAACTTTCGAACTAAAGTATCGGATCAAATGTATTTTTGATTTGTGTGCAGTGAAATCATTGAGATAATTGGTGTTATCTACTCGATAGAACGGAAAAAGGCGATTGCGACGAAGTAGCGCAAATTAAAAAAAAAAAGTATTTTTGGAACGGTGAAATATTCAGGCTGGTTCACAATACATAGTAGACTATCCCACATTTATATGGGGGAAAAAATCCAACCCCTTGGTTTGTGCCATTAGGTGAGAAAACCACTTTCTGAAAATTTCAGCTCATTCGGATGTAACACGAGCTGGCGCTTTTGATTTAAAATTCATATGGGCATATTGGTTGAAATGTATGGAGAAATAATATTTTTTCACTCTTCCGTGCATAGAACTGGTTCAGCAATCTCGATGAAGCTCAGAATTTCAGCGAACGTAGATCATAAGGAACAACTTTGCTCAAGACATCAACACGATTCAAGTTAGTATTATGGATATATTAATTAATTATGTGCATTCTGCTCGTATATTGCAACAAAATACAGGCAGATTATACAACGTATCAACTAGATTACCATTAAAATAAAAGTTTATATTTCCACATGCCAATATTCAGACTCATGTCAGTAGATGCGATAACCACTCTCTGAATGTTTCAGCTGTTTTTGATGTAACACGGACTGATGCTTTTGGTTTATTGTTTATATAGGAGATTTGGTTGAAATTTTCATATACAAAATGCTCATATACATTCAAAAACGAATATCTCAATAAAACTAACTGGATTCATGATGCAATCTTCAGCAAAGTTGTTACTCATTAACTGAACTACAGGTTTTGAAAATCTGAATCAAATCGTGAGTAAGGAAACTTTTTTATGATCGATAGAGTGTAGGAGTGTTATTTTTTCATGTATTTTATCTTATATCCCCATACAAAATTCAAACTAATTGCGCCAGATCATCCTACAACCAAATGAGCTAAAACTTTCAGAGAATGGTTTTTTAACCTAAAGGCACAAATCTAGAGGTTGGCCCGTGGAATGTTAGAACTTTTATTTTTTTGGGCCAGTCTAATACAAAGTTATATTTCAAAGAAGTCCGGAGAACTTCAGAAGAGTCTGATGAACTTTAGAGTGATGGTCCGCATAAAAAATGGCAACACTGAATTAAAACATCAACGTGGGACGCGGGACGCGCCTGCACAGAAATATAAAACAACCCAAAATTAAGTTCAATTAACTCATATCCTATCTTCTGTCCGATAACCCACACTCATAAAATTCGACGCATCGATTTTCATGTGTCCAGATAAATCACCAAAAAATAAGTGGTATTTTTGCTAGTGAATAAAATAGAAATTTTCGCTCTAATTGATTGGTGTTTTAATTGTATTTCATGGCCAAATCTTCCTCTTTCTAGTGATCTGTGGTGAGAAAATATCGAAAAATTAAATCTCGTAAATGCCCAAGATTTTCGTAGACAAAAATCAGCAAGCAAACAACTGCGGTTGATTTTGCAAGCTGTGATATTGCAGCTCGGAATATCAAGCTAACAAAATTCACCAGCTGTAAATCTCAACAAACTGTGGTGAGATTGAGTTTCATGATTATGGCTTGACACCCGAACGCAACCAAAGCTTCCATAACAGCTGGCAGCAGTCACTTTGTGTCTACCATCGGTGAAGAGTAAAAAGAGATAGCAAACTATACTTTCTCCTTCTAAGAAAACGATGTGCAACGGAATCATTTTTGTGTCGAGTCAGCTCTCAGCTTGATTTTTGCACGTTGTGAATAGTCTCGCAATATCAAAGGAGCTTGTAAAATCAATATCAAGCATGATATTTTGTTCCAATATCACGCGTGATATTGAGAGCGTAAACATATCATTTGATTGATGATTTTGCCAACACTGTTATATATAAACATTTTAAAAATATTCAAGGAAATGGTTGATAAAATAGTATATTTTTTGCGTGTGTAAAACTCGATTAAAAGTAAATCTGGACGCACGGTTTAATACACCACCGCGCTCCTGGTGGTTGGCACAAAAAACGTTTGACAGGCATTTGTTGATGTTTCATTGACGAAGAAATTGGTGAAAAGTTTTTCTCGATTGATCGACGCATCCCGAAATAACGGATCATGGAACTTGAGAAAAGAAAATTAATTGTGCACAAACATCAAGAGAACCCTTCGGGGTCTGCCTCAAAAATAGCAAAAGTGTTAAAATTCCCAAAGTCAACGGCGAGTCTTGTAATCAAACGTTATAACGATACTCTGAGTGTGGATAGAGCACAGCGCATCTATCATAAAAGTGGCACTAGGGACAAAGAGCTGAGGAGAAAGGTGTTGAGGTACGTGTAAAGTAACCCAGGTGTATCCATACGTGATTTGGCAAAGAAATATGATTCCAACTTTACCACCATGCGTAACATCCTTTAAAGAGAAGGATATAAGTCTTTTTGTGCCACTAAACATCCGAATCGCTCCCTAAAACAAAATTTAGTGGCCAAAAAGCGAGCACGATTACTATACGAACGAGTGTGGACGAAATTTGATGGCTGTTTTTTAATGGATGACGAAACATATGTCAAAATGGATTATAAAAAAATCCCCAGACGAACATTTTACCTGGTAACTGGTCGTGGGGATGTCTCTTCCAGGTATAATTTTGTTTTTGCTGATAAGTTTGCTCGGAAACTAATGATTTGGCAAGGAATCTGCAGTTGTGGCCTTAAAACCAAGGTTTTCATCACATCTCACACAATGACGTCGAAGGTTTACATTAAAGAGTATCTGAAAAAGCGGATTTTACCCTTCATTCGGCAGCACAAGACCAACGTTATGTTTTGGCCGGATCTAGCCAGCTGCCACTACTCTAAGGAGGTACTAGAATGGTATGCTGCAAACAATGTTAATTTCGTCGCCAAAGAGATTAATCCTCCGAATTGCCCTGAGTTCAGACCGATCGAAAAATATTGGGCAATTGTCAAGCGAAAACTTCGAGGATGCAGAAAAGAAGTGACAAATGCACAACAAATGCGTTTAAAGTGGAATAAGTTCCCGGTACAGTGTCACCAGCGACTGCGCAGATCATGATGCCATCGATCACAAGTAAAGTGCGACAGTTTGTTCGAAACGGTGAAATGTAATAACTTGTTATATATCGTTTGAAAGCTGAATAAATACTCTTTTGTTTGACGTATTGACCAACCGTGTATGTTGTTTAATTCTTGAGTTATGATCACTTGAATGCGTCCAAATTTACTTTGAATCGGGCTTTACTCAGTCCACCATCGCGACTGCTGGAAGGTTAATACTATCTAAATTGGATACTGCTTTAGTAAAAGTTAAAAACCACGCGTAAAACACAAGATTTGCAGACGGCGAAAGAAAAGTCAACCGTTCACTGGAAGAGCCTACTGCGCACTCCTGAAAAGGTCCTATCTCTCACGATGCAGTGAATGTGTACACGTAGGGTAATGGATTTTGGTTGGATATATCAATATTATGTAATTTTCACACTGCGTCTAATACCCCGTCATGTAATATAGGCTGTCTTGTAATGAGCACTCATACATAGGATTTCCAGTTATAACTAGATGTATGAGTGCTCATTGCAAGACAGCCTATATTACATGATATAAGCCATAGTTCGTACGGGGTATAAATTAATGCCGTGTTTT